TTTATATGTAAGGTAACTTTGGTAGAGAGTCATCTTCTAAAGTTGGCCACAAAGCCCGTCATGCTGATAATCATAGATTGTTGTAATGGTCTTTGACCTGTAGGAAATATGCAGGAAATGAAAGGTGCATGCTTAGCTAGCATAAAATGATTCCTGAGCAACAGTAAAAAGCATTCCAAGCCTTCCCCATGACTTTATAGCAAGGAGAACAAAAAGATGACGACAGTGAGGAAGCCTCATGAAGAGAAACACATTTCCAACATGCAGCAGGTTAATTAGGCGGTCAACACAGCTTCCATCTGTGGGAAATTCCAAAATGAACAAGAAATCTGGAATGATTTCTTATGCATCTTTGAACTCCTTAGTAGGATGCTACATACTGAATTAATAACACATGGCAAACTGGGTTACTATGAAAGACTAAAAACCTTTTTGTGTGTATAAATATTGCAATTTTCTCCATTGCTGTGGGTGACGTTTGACAAGAACACAAAATAACTCACCTGCAATGAAAGATTCTTTGTGCATTAAAAAAAACAAAAAAAAACTGAGCTTTCAAGTGAAATGAAATAAATCCAAGCAAGGCAAGCCAGTGTGGACATTTGGAAAGATCTGTTAATGGGACACACACAGCAAGCTGTTGTTCTTAAAGTTAGCCACCACAACCATAGCAGGTCCCACAGCTAGCAATTAAAAAACATTGATCAATTACCAATTACAGAAGTAGATCAATACTATGCATCAGAAGTAAGCCTCTCTTTATCAGATGGCTGAGCATGGATCTCAGCCTTGTGATATGTGGCATCATAATGATCTTTCTTATTTCTCTTGAAGAAACCACACTACAAGGAAGCAAGGTATTTAGTCAATTTTACAGTTTCGTGTATAACAGCTAAACAACAGAACATCTCAGATTTTAATCTGCTTTCTACTTGAGGCTTGTTTACAAACAGACCACTTTGAGTCAACCAGCAGTAAACAGCCACTGCATTGTTTCACTGTCACATTCAACACACTATTACCATACATCTCTGGTCAAAAACTTATATGGATGACACTAGTCGGCTCGTTGGTTTTTTTTTGTAACAGAAATCCTGAGGATAAAAATCACAGGGAAAACGTATATACACTGCTGATTGTAGCTTTGGGTAGTTTATTCTTACAGGAGAATATGAACTCCAAAAGAGGCAAAAGATGCAGTTTATTGAGACAAAGGTTAGAAAATAAATTTTCTAAGTAAAAGTTAGTCCAAGTCCAAATAAAATATAGATATACTGTGGGTATTTTTCTGCCTTTTATAGTAAATTTTATGGAACAAATGCCATTTACTTGAGGCCTTTGCATCTGTGGGGTGAATCACAATACAAATTCCAATACACCATCATGAAAGAATGATTGCTGTCATTTTCCCAAATTCTGAGTACCATATAACCCTTAAATGGTAGGAACCCCATGCTCCTCAGGTTAGGTCACTGTAAATGGGTATAAGTATAATTCTACTTTCTACTATAATTTCCTTCATTCGATGATAGAGAACTTTTCCTGTTTACTTTTATCTAGTTCATAAGGCCATGGAACTGTCTTTTATAAAATTTAACCTGGTCAAATAAAATCTCTCCCGAAACATTCTGCTTCCTAGTCCAGCAGCTCATGAAGGTAAAGTCTAGATTCACTTTGTACGATATATGGGAGCTACTGGCTCCATGCAGCTATTCAGATAGAAATTAATTTAAGTTACATTTAAAACTATGCCTCAATTGAATCAGCCATATTCCAAGTTCCTAATAGCCACACGTGACTATTGGCTACCGTATTGGATGGTACAGCTCCAGAACATTTCTATCAATACAGAGTTGTTGGGCAGCTTTCAATAATATGTGCTAGTAAATAGGGTGGGCAGAATGAACTAGGAACCAAGAGGCCTGGTCCTGCCTCCAACTTGGCAACATTCTTAATATCCCTGGGCATGAGCATCCTTGTTAGCAAAATGAAGGTGATTAGACCACCCCAGGGGACTTTTTTTTTTAAACCTGCAAACAGAATCCTGACATTTAAAATGGATACAATCTGAACTGCTCTGCAAGAGTGGGGGTCTCCATCTGCCTAGGTTAGCCTTGCTCTCTACATGGATATACAAACTCCAGTTTAGGGGCCGCTGGATTGTAGTTCTGACCCTAAAATCGTATGACTTTTTAACATACTAAATAATTGTGTTTAATAAGCAAAAGTATAAAGTAATAAAAATACTTCTCATGTGGGGTTGTATAACTTGTATTTTAGAGTTCCCTTGACAGTCTGGATACCTCAGAGCTTTAAAAAAAAAAAAAAAAACTCCTAAAATAATGAAATCATATAATCCAATCAACATACTTAACAGATGAGGCAAACAGAGGTCCCAGAGAGGTGGTATGATTTGCCCAAGATTATATACAGCTTAGGTTTCTTAACCTTCAACCCACTGCTGTCTCAACTCTCTTTAAAGGCTGCCAAATACTCTGGAAAAGTTATCCTTATGACCTCTTCCAGAAAATATAACATCATCCTCAAATATCAAACCCTAAATTTTTTTATATCAAAATAATTTTCAAAGCCAGGTGCAATGGCTCACATCTGTAATTCCAACACTTTGGAAGGCCTAAGCAGGAGGATTGCTTGAGTCCAGGAGTTCAAGACTAGCCTGGGCAATACAGCAAAACCTCATCTTTACAAAAAAATTTAAAAACTAGCTGGGTGTGTGTGGTGGTATGTAGTCCCAGCTACTCAGGGTGCCGAGGTGGGAGGATTGCTTGAGCCCAGGAGGTCAAGACTGCAGTAAGCCATGATCATACCACTACACTCCAGCCTGGCTAATGGGGCGAGACCCTGTCTCAAAATTTTTTCTTCAAGGCATCTCCTTGAAAAAATATTTTTATATTGACTGGCTATGTTTGCCAGAGGAACCTACTACCTGAGGTAAACATCAGATGTAAAACTGGCTAAAACTCCGTACCAGAAGGAGTTTTGTTATGAGCAGACACCAAGCTTCAATTACATGAATAGAGGACATCAGAAAATTTTCTCAAATTAGCAAAATGCAATTGAAAAAAATAAAGCAAAACCAGATGCCCAATATTTGCAAGTAAGACTATCTTTAACCTGTAGGTATTATATTTTTGGATCCAAGGAAAGGAAAAGAATGGTTTGATTCTAGGGTGTTGCTGGTTTATCCAAAACCCTCCAGACTGGACATGTTTGAGAATCCAAAATTTTTGGCGTTTAAAAAAAGTAATACACTGCATACCTAATGCTCCTATAATCAAAATGTTAGTATTTCTGCAGTGAAATTAATCAAAGGATGAAAACTTTAAAGTAGCCTCTCTTCACATCACATCAGGTTTTTCTGCCAAATAAGTCATTACATACTTTGTTTTCAGAGCTTTTTGGAATTGCACATAAGGAATTATAAGCCTGTGTCACTGTGAATAATCCAAAATTTTTAGGTTGTAATCTCTGGCAGTAAGAATTTGTATCCATCTCATACAGTTTTTCATAATGTAGACTCTTTGGTAGAAGCAGGGGAAGATACTACATTTTACTTGAGTCAAAGGGCCAAATTCTAATGAGGAACATCATATTGAACCTAGACCTTCCTCAGGTTTGATACATGCTACAGTGACCCCCCTTTGAGACAGTTACTCATTCACGTCATGCTTTTCTATTCAGAATCTTGTAAGCATAACCAACTCCAACGGCTGCTATGAACATTCTTCACAGAAACTGAAATTAGCAGGGATACAGATTCAGATTATTATGATACCCTAACAATTTGGCTTAGATCCAGACTTCAATCTTAGGTGAAGAAAATGCTAAAGTAGTAAAATCTACACTTGTTATTTGCTAAATATGCTAAATTATGTGTGACAGACACCAAAATTCATTTAAGAAACTTGTTGTGTACAAATATGCTTTAAATACAATATTCAGTAAATATACAGCTGTTCATTGTAAAATTTTCATCAAATTTGCTATGTCAAAAGAGTTTCATAATAAAATGTTACAAAAAAGGAAGCAATGAAAAAGAAAACACTATCAGTGCTGACTCCCATTTTTTAAAACATGAAGTTTATGTTCTGAAATTCAAATGCCAGATATGACTTACCTTCCACAGTATAACCACTAATAAAGCAAGCATCAAAATCCCAGCAAGAATAGCCACTAGGATGATCCACCAAGGTACTCCTGAATACTGAGCCGCAGTCTTGGAGGGAAACACAGTCACACGAACCTATTGGGCAGAAATGAAAGCAGCATGACTACATACTGTGGTGAGAGTTCACACCAGGAGTTTGTGGTACTAATTCTGCTTTTGAATATATTTTGGACAATGCAGCCTGTGAATGGATGACATGACTTTCTGATACAAGATCCTTTCGCTTAACAGAATATTGCTTCAAGAGGCGTTCCTTGAAGATCTTTCCCCAGAATCTTGAAAATGCTCGGTCATATTCGGACAAGGTGGTTACCTCTTTGTTAATTTATCTTAAATTTTTTTTGTTGTTGTTAACACAAGTAGAGAAAACTGTGTAATGAACCCTTATGTATTCATCATCCTGTTGCAGCATTTATCAATACACAGCCAGTCCGTGTATCTATCTAAAACAGACTGCTCTAAAAAAGATACCAGGTTAAATAGATCTAACAGTCAATCTGTTCTATCTAACCTGATATCTTTTTGAGAACAATCATACTTTTTTTTTTTTTTTTTTTTTTTTTTGAGACAGGGTCTCACTCCGTTGTCCAGGTTGGAATGCAAGGGGTATGATCCTGGCTCACTGCAGCCTCAACCTCCCAGGCTCAAGTGATCCTCCTTCCTCAGCTTCCCAACTAGCTAGGACTATAGGTGCATGCCCCCACGCACAGCTAATTTTTAAAAAAATTTTTGTGTTGAGACAGGTTCTCACTATGTTGGTCAGGTTGGTCACAAACTGCTGGCTTCAAGTGATCCTCCTGCTTCAGTCTCTCAAAGTGCAGGGATCATAGGTATGCGCCACCTCACCTGGCCTATACTTTAATTCGCTTTCAGCAATGAAAAGAAATGGGCCAGTTTAAAGATGTTGTGAAATACAAAAATAGGGATGGGGCTGCATGACTGATGGACACCATTTTACCTTTTTCTTAGGATATCACATTAAAGACCCTCAAACAATAACATACCCTAAAATGGCTTGGTGTCATCTTCTACAAAAAGGTATATGAACAAACGACCCAGGACCCATTCAGAAATAGCTTAGTGCTTAAATTGCTCCTGCTTCTTAGAAGCTTAAACTCTAAACATCGGATAGTTTGCAGATACCAATTAAATAGAAACTGGTTACTCAGAAACCTAAAAAGCTGCTTCTGGCAATTCCAACAACTCAGTTACATGGGTTTAGAATGCAAAAGGACTTTTGTAACACCAGGAACTGTTTTTCAGAGTATGCTAAAGACCTGGTGATTACTATGAACATGATTTTGTAAACTATACTGATTAGATAACTACTAGTTTGAAGTTTCTGATATTTCTGAATTAAGAGAATGTAAAGTAAAGGGAAACACAACTCAGGGGGAGCATTTAACTTCTGAGAAGTGTTTTTAATCAAGTATTCTATGTCTGTATTGAACCCTAGATGCTGTTATGTCTACACTGTGCTTCAATGCTTTTATACTATGCTGTGGTGGTTTTCTTTAAAAATCTCTCACCAAAGTACTTCTCTTTGCACTTCCAGGAAAGTTTCTCAACCTCACCTGACTTACAGAAAATACTTAAAAGCAGTAAAACTGCTTTTCTTTAAACATTGAATAGACAGCAGTTCACATCATGGGTTTTAGCCAATTATACAGACTGTAGCAGGCATGCATAAAACACCTTTATCAGCCACCATGTTTCCTGTTATGCTTTAAATGAGGTTTTCCACAAGCTCTGAGCCCCAAAGTGGCCTCACGGCACACTTCCCCTCTTCTTCCCTCCCACTACAAGGGAGAGATTACCAGGTTCAGCACAGGGACATCCACAATGAAGGGAAGAAGAAACTGACAGACCAGTGAAGTAATAAAATAGTTACGTGGCTGGTAAGCTGACGACAACAAAACCAACCAAACAGATGATTTCAGTAAGCCTAAACTGTATCTCGTTTAACTTTGCTGCCCTGTTATCTAACACAAGAAAGGTACAGTTATGTGTCCTTGGGGCAAGGTGGTCATGTGGAAGGGCCATCCTCATTTGTAAGAATAAGTTCTAGTAAATCTGGAAGTGGAGAGTGGAGACTGGTTTTTGACAAGGGGAATCAACTTTATTATAATGACACTGTGTACAAGTGCCTTTAAAACAGCTAACAATGGGGGAAGCCACCCCGGTAAATGGTTTGGATCCAACATTGTAACAACCGACCAAAGTAATTTTTGATTTTGCATCTGGAGTAGCAGGGTGGATGGGAATCCAGCTGAAGCACTAAGCCCCAGGCCTGGAACCATTCAGACTAGAACTGTGACATGTTTTTAAACAACTCACTGGGCATCAAAGACAGGACCGAAGTCAGGGACTGGGTTGGCTACACATTTAAAAGGCAGATATGCTCTGTGATCCTGGAGGGTGATGGGCCAGTCAGGAAGATTTTATTGGTTGTTCACTTAAACTGTCAATCAAAGGTGTTTTCTCTTTGTTTTGTATGACAGTCATTCTCCAGCTGGGATTGAGAACAAGGGGGAGTTGGCCATAGAGCCAGGTGACCAAAGATGGGAGACAAAGGGTGGGCTGTGATTCCCAGAGCTCCAAGCCTTATCCTGTCACACCAACTATTACTGATGAACAGGCGAGTAGAAACTACTGTAGAGCTTTACAACTCCAAAAATAATTTCTTTCCTTTGGTTTCATTACAATTTAGGGATTTCCATGGGGATGACGCACACCTGTGGAACTCATCCACCATGTGCCCATAAGGGGAAGATGGGTGTAAGCTCTGTTGATGCATTAAATTCGATTACCCACGAGCAGTGCTTAGACCACATTTGCTTGTCAACTGCCAAAATGCCTTCTCTAAATTACTCTGTAATGTACCACCCTCTGTTCTCCTTAAACATCAGTACACAAAGTCACTCAGTGAAGGGATTTTCGTATCTTTTACAAATCTATGAAGGACATCATCCACTCTTGGTGTTTCTCATATAAGAAGCCGTCTTATAAAAGGATCCATTTCTTAAGTTCTTCTCTGAATTTAGAGCCAAAGCAACAATCTTATTCCCCTGAAGAATTATGTACTTTTTATGGTCATTTAAATACAAAAATCTTTGACAGACAGGAAGCTTGGGTACTCTCTACTTGCTTCCTTAGGGATAAATGGGGACATATAAATACAACCAGTAAACAGTCCTCCCTCTCCCCACCCCCCACCAACTTCCTTGGTTAATTTGACAGTTTTCCTGGTTCTGTCTCTTACAGCATGACATTCTTAACAATCGACACTGTATCTTACCCAACTTTGCCTCTCTAGCATTTGCACAGGGAAGGCACGTGTCTTTCATAGGTGTTTATTAACAGGATAGATTTAATTGATGCTAAAATATAGCATAGCTTACCTGGCCCAATTATGTGACTTCTGCTCTCCCTGACTGCATTATATTAGTGTCCTAATTTAAAAGTGTTTTTTATTGTTTGTTTTGAGACGGGATCTCACTCTGTTGCCCTAGCTGGAGTGTAGTGGCACAATCTTGGCTCACTGCAGCCTCGACTTCCTGACTGAGGTCACCCTCTCACCTCAACCTCCCAAGTAGCTGGGAATACAGGCATGTGCCACCCCACCTGGCTAATTTTTGTATTTTTTGTAGAAAGTTGGGGTTTTTCTATGTTGCCCAGACTGGTCTCCAACTCCTAGGCTCAAGCATTCCACCTACCTTGGTCTCCCAAAGTTTAACAGTGTTTTATTAAAAGGTGAGCACAAAACTCTTGAAATTGGTTGGGTTATAAAGAATTTTTTTTTTTTTTTTTTTTTTTTTTTTTTTTTTTTTTTTTTTTTTTGCTTTTTTAAGCCAAATTAAGCTCAGATCTTCAGGCACAGAAAAACGACAGCTTAACCTACTAAAGAAATGTGCAGATATGACGTATGAGCTATTGTATTTCAGAAATCACAGAAAATAGAAAAGGTATCAGAAGACTAGAGGTTAAGAAAATGTCTTAATTTTCAAAAGACATGAGTTCTAGATATGAGACCAGTAACCCATTCACAAATCTACCAATTATTAAAGTAGGATCATAGTGAAGACACCAATTCCAATTGGGAGGCATGAGTTCTCCAAGCTCTAAGAATATAAAATGCCCAAGAGAACCTCATTTTCATTTGTGACCCAGCCATTAGACCGAATACCAGGGCCCCCAGCTCCATCATCTTCCAGAAGTGAGCAGTTGAGAGAAGACATCAAACCCAAGGTCTGGTCTGAGCTCTGCTTGTTGGTCAAGTGACCCCAAGGGGGAGACGTCTTTCCTTGGATTCAGTTTTCTTATCTGAATTTGAGATTTGGGGACTTTGTGGAGACCAAGCGTCACAGAGTTAAAGAACAGAAGCCCTGAGTCAGACAGTTATAGGTTTCAATTGAGGGTCTCAAATTATATCCCCTGAGACTGCTTCCTTGTTTGTAAAATGAGTACAATGTCTACACCTTAGTATTCTTCTGAAGTTTAAATGATAAGAGTATAAAGTAAGTTGTAGACATTTTATTAAGGCTTCGCTAATGTTAGTCCCTTCCCTCTAATGTTTTCTCTTTCTAGCTCTAAAATCTCAGTGATCTTCAAAGTTGCTGATTTAGTTATAGAAAGCTATACCTGTTACCTTTATAGATGCAGAGAAAGGATCCTTAGGGAAGGTGTGGTTGAAAGTCCCTTATAATGCCCGTTGATATGTCCTGGAGAGCCTGGGACAGTGCTGGTTGATACCACATTCCAGCAGCTTGCCCAGTACAGCATTTGTCTCAGGCAAATGTATCCTGGGGTTGGGTATAGTAACTCACACCTATAATCCCAGCCTTACTCACACCTATAATCCCAGCATTCGGGAGGCTGAGGCAGGCATACTGCTTGAACCCAGAAGGTAAAGAGCAGCCTGAACAACACAGTAAGACGCTGGCTATACAAAAAACTGAAAAATTGGCTGGGTGTGGGTAGCATCCCTATGGTCCCAACTACTCAGGAGGTGAGACAGGAGGACTGCTTGAGCCCAAGCATTCAATGCTGCAAGAAGCCGTGTTCCTGCCACTGCACTCCAGCCTGGGTGACAAAGCAAGACTCCATCTCAAAAAAATAAAAATGTATTCTTGTCTGGATAATAAATCATAAGGACCACTATATTTCAGAAAACAATGATTTGGGAGACTCCCTGAGTTTTCAGCTAGCTAAATGACTGAAGCCAGAACATTTCCATAAGTAGACTGGCAGATTAATGTAAGAGCAGGAATTCACAGTGTCTTTCTCCAGTCTCTTTTGCAAAACATTCCCATTCATGATTCCCACCATGACATGCAGTCATTCTGCCTCAAGATCTTGATGCTAGTCCCTTTGGGTTCTACACCCCCACAAGGAACCCCTCACTATTGGTTCACTACAGTGTTCTACACCTAGTCCTATTCAACATTTTTGTCATTACTTGGATGAAGACAGAGAACTTGCTTCTCAGTTTTTAAAACTTTCAGGGATAGAAAATTGAGGAAGCAAATGATGACGCAAGATTCAAAATTACTTTGAAAACAAACAATGGATCCAAAGCAAATCACATAAAATATAAAGATACACTTAAAGGCATACATTTAGATTTTTACAAACAGCTCAAGGACAGGATACTGGAAACACAGCTTGACAACAAATTCTGATGAAAACACCTGGAAGTTTCAGTAGAACAGTAACACAAAAATAGCAGCTGTTAGAAATTCAAACGTGCTGCTCAGCAATGGTTTGAAAAACCAAATTTTAGGCAGGTCTTACAGAAATGTGTTGCCAAGATGCTGAGAAGTAAAGGCCCCAGGGTAAGTGGGACCAAGTGGATCCCACCTCAGCTGCTCTGCCCGCGTGAGAGTCACACTGCCCAGGAAGGGAGAGGCTGGGAGCCAGTTCGGCTGTGCCCAATGTGACGCATAACTCGAGAGCTGGGTGCATAGCTCTGAGGAGAATAAGAAACATCCAAGGAGGCATGACCATTTCCTTCAATTATTTGATAGGCTGCTACATGGCCAAGAGAGAACTTATTTTAGACTTGTTCCAGAGACATAACCAGGGACTTACAAGGTTCAGTTCAGGTTTCAGCTATGAAGAGCTCTTTAATAATAATTACAGCTGGCCATGGCATGGGCCATCACTGGGGCATTCCACCAATGGCTGCAGCATTAGAGATGGTGGAAGACACAGGTTTCTACAGGGCTGTGAGGTGCGCACCCTCTCTTTCAGTTGAGCTAATAGTTCTTAAGTCTACCATGGGCACTGCTGAACTGGATGACCCTAGATTTACTTCTTTTTTCAATGATTCTATTGAAATACAGCTTGCAGTGCCAGTACCTTAAGACAGTATTTTCTCCCTAATGGAGGTAATAGGGCTATGAGGGAAATGAGCACCACAGCACATGACTTCAGGCCCTGGGTGTAGAGTACAGGGAAGAGAGACTTGCTCTGAACCTGAATGAAGCTGGGAACCTCTCACCTGAGTGCCTGCATTTGGCAGCTTGATATTCTCAGCAGCAGCAGTCACGTCAATGAAGGCTCGCACAAAAATGTCCAAGTAGTTCAGTTTGGAATATTCCTGTTTGGAGACAGTTAGTGAATGCATTAGGGAGGTGAGACATGTCCTAGGCAGAGACAAATTACTTCTATGGGACAGCCTCATGCCAAGGTCATACCTCTAGAAACGTGCTGTTCCATAACCTTGAGCGCAAAGTCAGAGACGCCTTGCTGTCCAGCCCTCGCAGCGGGCATCTGATGTTCACACAGTTCACGTTCACGCTACAGTTCTAGACAGAAAAGGAAGACTGGTCATCAAAAGACATTGGTCTGAAGAAGTCCTTCCCCTTATCCTCTCAAAAATTCATAACTCTTGAAAAATACTTACAAGAGTCTGGTATTTTCTTTCAGCAAATAAAGAAAATTTTCTGCTATCATCTGTCTGTTTTTCAGTAATTTCCCGTTTCTTCCTTGAGTTGTGAGATTCCTGAAAAAAAATTATATCCAAAATAGCTCCAATTTATTTAATTCTTTGTTGCTACCATACAAGCCTCTTAAGCATACCCTCCTAAACAGTGCCAAATTCACATGATCAACAATATTTGCCTCTCTCCTGCCAAAGGCACAGAAATAAATGTAAAATCAGCAAGTACTATCACTCTAAATTCAAGTTTATTGATTTACTCATAGTGCTAAATTTATTAAGTAATTCATTCCTACTCTGATCTTAAAACTCAAAGAAACAGAAATATGTTCTCTTTGACCCTCTGTATCCCCACCAAACTGTAGAAACACTGAGATCAGAGATGCCTCCAGCTCTGTTCCTAAAACTTGGTAGTCAGCACATCTTGAAGGAATAAGTAACACTGAAGAACAGAGAAAGCAGCAAAAAGACCCATTTTATAGCTCATTCAGAGCACAGCAATGAAAACTAAGCCATACAAGAACTTTTAAAATTGCATTTTTCTTACAGATTAGTAATAACGATTCTCTTGATTTTTAACAGATGAGAAGATCATGCCATAAGTCACCAACTCCGATCACTGATCATACCCAGTCACCTTAGAATTTAAAAGAAACAAGCATGCAAACCTTCATCAAGCTGGAGCACAAATGATAGGCCAGTTATCTAAGCATGGAGCAGTATAGAGAGGGGTTTAAGAGTACAGGCTTTGACATCAGGCAGAGCAGGGCTTGAATGTGGAATCTGTCTCTTAACAACTGAGTGACTGAGAGTTATTGCTCTCTGAATCTTAATGTCCTCATCTGTGAAATGGTGGGGATAATGAAACTCCCTCATAGGACCATCCAGAGAATGAAATGAGAAAATGCAAACAAAATGTTTAGCATAGTGCCAGAGATACAATAAGTACACGATAAATAATTACTATTTTTAAAATAAGCATAAAAAGCTTTCAAGGTTACCCACTAAGATGCCATTATCTTTTGCAATGAGTTTGGTCCTACTTGGCATGAACACTGGCTGGCCCCTGGGTAATAGCAGCTTCTATTACCCAAGAGCATCTGCCAGTTCTCCTTATTATGTAATATACTAGGAAAAGTCATGAAACGTGACGTCATGAGGAAACATCAGAAAACGTCATTTGCCTCAACGAGCACTGAATGACTCTGCCTTGTGTACTATAATGGTCGCTAAC